TTCAGCCCCCCCCCCCCCTTCCTGTGGCAAGGTTCTGGTTTACAGTTTCTTTGTCATTATGCTCTCTCGCTCCCGACGTCATTGTGTCTCAACTTCTTCCTCGCCGTTTGCTTCAAATCTCTGGAGCGACGAAAGGCATCGTTGTAGAAGGGACGGCCGAGTTGTCGTTGTTCTCCCTCTCAGACAAGGCCATCGTAAAGGGAAAGGGCGGACACGATCGTCTCATCACGTTTGCTGCCCTCCTTGAATTCCTCCATGTCAAGGCTACCGTTCTCGTCCTTGTCCATCATGCGGAAAATCTTGCGCACGCGCTTTTCGGGGGTATCTTCGTCTTCGGGGAGCTTCACCATGGAGCCGACCTTTGAATACCGCTGTCAGCACATCATGTTCTACATGGAGGAGTAGGGTCTGGCAAAGCGGAGGGGGACTGGCCGAACGTCGGCCTGGCAAAACAGGGGATATGGCAAAGTTACGCACCATCTTGTAGATGGCTTCGACAATTTGCAGCATCTCGTCGTAGCTGATCTTGCCGTCGCCGTCTATGTCGTAGAGCTGGAAGGCCCAGTCCAGCTTGTCCTCCATCTTGCCACGGCTCGTAACGCTCAGAGCGCAGATGAACTCTTTGAAGTCGATAGTACCGGATTTGTCGCTGTCAAAGACATTGAACACGTAGTCGGCAAACGAGCTCGGATCGCCAAACGGGAAGAACTGGCGGTAGATCTTTTGAAACTCCTCCTTGGTGAGCGTTCCCGAGGGGCAGTCCTTGAGAAATCCTGCGAGCAGTTGAACATTAGCCGACTGCTGTACGCCATGAACGGGGGAGGAAGGCTGTTAAGCGATCGCTGTGGCGCGCAGGGGAGGCTCGAAATTTCGAAGCCGTCGATGCGTGGCGGGTGTAGGAGGGAGGGTCATTCTGGATTGGCATACCCTTGTACCACTGTTGCAACTCCTTCTTATCGAAATGGGTCGACTTCTGCAACTCAGAGAGCTGCTCTTGCGAGAGCTTTGACTGTCTAATGATCGACAGAGCGTCGCGGTTAGCAGATGCGCGTGGTTCAAATGGGGCGTCTGAACC